ATTTAATTTCAGCTTTTCAATTTTCTTTTTTATTTGTTTTCTCGGTCTTAAAAATGTCCTACTATTTATTATTGTCTTTACTAAACATTCCGATTAGTAAAGAATTTATTTAAAAAGTAACTCAGTCAAATAGGTACACATGCTAACAAACAAATCAACACATTCGATGACATTTGTATTTTTATAAATACATTCACTTAAAAAAAAAGTATTGATGTGACTTTTGATAGAATTCCGAGATTTAAGATTTTGGCTTGTTTTCACAAAATTGTCATTTCAAATTTACATGCTAGATTAATTCTTGTTTATTACTCATTTCAGTCATTTAATTATTTGTTAAGATTCATTAATTTTAAATTGTTTTTTTTAATTGATATATTATATTTAAGTTGTTAAGATATATTTAATATTGTCACAAATAAGCACAAAATTGTCATTTCGAATTGACAGCTGAGATTTATTCTTATATATTAGTCAATTCTCTCATTTAATTATTTGTTAATAACAAAAATAACAGAATATGAATTTTAAAAACATTAGTCATTTGCAGAAGAACGGTTCAAAGTTTATATTATAAGCCTAAGAAGCCAAATATTTTCCATTTTTATGTCAATTCGCATAATTAAAATGTGTACTTCTATTACTGGATGATTATGTAATTTGACATAAGCCATAGATCTGGTATTAAGACACGAAAACAAAACAAAAAAGAACTGAAAAATGTTCTACGGTTCAGAGAACATTTATTATGACCAAAGTTGTAACTCTAAGAAAATTAAATGGAAATGAATTCATTTTTTCTTGTGGGGCCTCAGCTCGAATCAAACAGAATTTGATTATATTATTGGTAGGAATGCGACTCTATAGTTTAAAATGTTAAATATTTATTTTCGAAGCATTCATTTTTAAACTGGAACAATACGCAATCTTCCTACTATTTCGTGTTTGATTTTCTTTGCGGTTATTTCCGTCATTCGCGCCACAAATGTATAACATTTCTTTGCGTATTTTTTAAACTGAAAAGCACTAATTTAAATAATGACTGCACGTTTTAATATCTTCTTGCGATTTTCCATTCTTTTTGTTAATACGACAGTAACGTTACAAGGGAACGTAGCGATTTCGTTGTAAGGAATCTACAAGACAACCTTTTTAACCTCCATTTAACATTGCAGAAACATTGTGGCAGCGCCATTTTGTTACCTGGAGAAGGACATATAACAAGAATTGCTTCACCTGAAAGGCATTCATTCAGCAAAGCTGAAAACAACCCATCATATGGCGTCATTTAATCTTTTGAAAAAAAATTCTGGTTTCTCAATGTTTTCTGGACATTTTTCGTAATTGCTAAGCAGAGTGTTCGTTCTGGACATTTTTCGTAATTGCTAAGCAGAGTGTTCGTTCTGGACAATTTTCGTAATTGCTAAGCAGGGTGTTCGTTCTGGACATTTTTCGTAATTGCTAAGCAGAGTGTTCGTTCTGGACATTTTAATGCCATGTTCTTTCAGCATTTAAGCGTTCATGACTTTCCCCATATTAATTTTCTTTTATTGTTTGTGAATTGCCATGACTTCTTGGGAAAGGTAGACGAGTGGTTTCCCGATACATTTTCTATGGTTTTGGATTCAGAGTTTTCCACACTGGTTGTTACCCAAAGCAAAAAAAAAGCGCAGTCTACCCTGCTATTTAACCCATAGCTGGAGGAGGGATAGATTCATGCCTTTTTAATGCATAAATCCATAAACGAAATTAATTTCACTTTATGCGCTGATAACCGTTGCACCACAGGCACAAACCCCCTATATTAGTCAAGGTAAAAAAATTGCTCTGAGATTCACAATGCGTCATGGTCGACTATCAGATGAAGTATTTTTTTTTACCAAGAAAATTTGTATACGTCATGACGATTTGATGCCGATGTTATTTGGAGCCATGATATTAGTAAAGATAATTTATCTTGGGTTTCTTATATTTTGAGGATTATTTTATGGATATTCAATCTTTTCTTTCAGCCTATGACGCGAAGGTCTTGATAAAAATAAATGAATTAATTAAATTTAAATACTAGCCACTTTAGAAGGAGCCGGTGACACCTTTGATCACCTGGAGTTGTGCCAGGTTGCCCTATTTGTATGAACGCTACTAAAATTATCGAATCCACCATAGATGACTAAATTTGAATTAGTTGGACAAGGTCACATATTGTGTACTTACTCTCGTGATAATGGTTTGTTAGACCATCGAATCACTACGTCTGTTTCACTTGATAATATTTCATTTTTTTAAATCTGTAGAAAGATTGTTCTGGTGGCTAAACGTTTTAATAACACAGACAATGAAAGTGTATTCTATTCAAATTCCGGCTGTTACATCAGGCATTTATGTTTCACTAATTAATACCCTTCCCTCGATAAAAGCATGAATCACCTCTTTTATTAATGGGTAAATTAACAGACTCTCTATCCTTGGTTGGTAACCTGTCTAGGAGAATTATAACTTTGAATTCAAAACCAAGACCGAAATTCACTCTTGCACATCATCCGACTAGCAAAGGGGGAAAATAGAAAAACGTAAGAGCTTATGTGACTTACAATCTCACCACATAAAAACATGCCAGCTAAAATTGGCGCGCAACTTAAAGAACCGATCAGGTATAGAATATAGAGAAGAAATACGGTATTAAAAATATTATATTTTTAAAACGCACTTGTTTAAATTAATCCATCAAACTTTTTTGTTTTTGTTTTTTTCTTTTTTAACCGTTTAAGTAATAAAACTTTTGAAATACGGTATTAAAAATATTATATTTTTAAAACGCACTTGTTTAAATTAATCCATCAAACTTTTTTGTTTTTCTTTTTTCTTTTTTAGTATAAACCGTTTAAGTCATAAAACTTTTGAGAAGTTTTGAAACTAAACAGGAAGCATATTTTTTTTACCTGTAAAGACAAAAATCGATGTCTAATTAAGGTTTTTTGCATTCACCACAACATGCTTAATATAGTGTCAGAGTACGTAATTCAATTGTTTTCCTCTATTAATACTATTATAAGAAATTTTTTAACATTCACATTATATTTAGTAACTACAATTATTTTTACAAAAAAACAGAGAATTTCAATAGAGAAAGATTATTTTTCTGAAAACACTTTAAAAATATATTTCTCTTTCAAATGTTAAAAAAAAAGAAATATAAATTGCAACTAAACAAAAAATATTGAAATAAAAAAATGTAAGTTTATGATTAGAAAGTAGAAAGTAGAAACATTAATAATCGTAAAATAAAATAAAGATTTTTTTTTGTATGTCACCGTCTTCCAGAGTATCATTATTTATTTGTTTATAAAAAAAACGTTCCTCTTGATTCTTGAACAGCAGTAACACTACAACAGCAAATAATGACCTTTTTACCAAAATTAGGTTGATTTTTTTACGACTTAGATTTTCAAAATAGCCCATACTAAAAGAATTACGCGAAAAAGAATCTATAAAGCTCACTTTGTAATGATTCTTTGATTCTGAGAACACTCGTGCGTGAGTGCAAACATATGCAAAAAGAAGAGAGAATTTTCACTGATTTTTGAAACCGAAGTTGTAAATTAAAAAAAAACATTATCACTATTGTTTACAACTTCATTAGAATTTAAAGTAAAATATTATTTTTCGTTAATCGCTCGATTAATTTAGAATAAAACCTGAAAAAATAAGCAGTTTAAAAATTAATAATAGCAGTCGTTCTCTTTATTCCTAGTAGGCAAAGATGGTGGTTAGATTGTGTTGTTGATTTTTTCCATCTCTTTTGCGTATTGTATTTCTTAAACTTTATTGTTACTGAATATAGACAATTAAGCAGATTTTCCAAATACAATATTATAACAATAACTTACGGACCTAAAAAAGCGAAATGAAAATTTTAAATAATAAAAATAAAGTTCTGCAACATTAAGTTACGTTCCTACAGTGGACAAGATTTATTTTTGCTTTACCAGGGAGGGAAAGTTGGCGTGCACCTGCTTCCTGAAAATTTCACACTTCGCACTGAAAGTCCGGATACAGTTAAAAAAATCTCCCCGGATATTTCATTTTTTCTGACACACTGACAATAAAATAACGGTTATTTAACTTATGTGACCGAGGAAAAGAAATATCACTATCTGTGTTAAACTGATCAACGTATAAGTTTGATTTGAGTAATTTATTTCATCAAACTACACCATTATTGTTTTTACACGTGTTATAGATAACAAATCTTATTTCAAATTGAAGGTTTTAATTTGTGGGAATATATATGTCACGAAGCGATGAACTAACTATTAAATAATTTTACAGATCGAAAGTATTTGTATTTATTAAAATGAATAAAATATCCGATAGAATTAGCTTTTGTGGTCTTACACAGCACAAAGCACTTAAAAAATGAGAATCAGATTTGAAAACGAAATATGGACGCTAGAAAAATAAAACATTGTTTTTCACCAAGTGTTTTTCATCCATGCTAGCAAATACATACAAATACACCCACACAATCATAAAAATAACGAACAATCAAATAAAAAATATTTCTGATCTGGTTTAGTGAGTAATTCTGTAAATTTTGTTTAATTTGGTGGTGGCGTGCAAAAAGGACATTTCGGCAACGGATCTAAAATATAGATTTTTGTTTTTTAATCTTTTTATTAAGTTAAATATAGAGAGTTTTGATAAATATATATTAAATAATTTTTTAACGTTTATCTAAGATATTCTTTTTACAAATTTTTCTAATTTATAAAATAGCCACATTTTTAATGTAGTAGGAGGGAAAGTGTTTCGTTTCAGCATGTCTGTTTCTGTTGCCATATTTGTATTGTCAACTCCGGAATATTAAATCCGGGACCTTTTTCTGCGCGGCCATCTAACTGCTATCCACCGACGGCCATGGTTGTTGTTGGGGGAAAAAGTGAAGTAGTCACCCGGTGAAAGGTTTTCCCCTGGACTACCACGTTTTGAGCAGGGCAAACATGAAGATCAAGAAAAAACATGTCGATTTGTCAGCGATAAGCCATTATTTAAAGTGTGGACAATACCCTGATGGGTTATCCGATTCAGACAAGCGCGGTGTAAGGAAGCGCTCCAAGGACTTTAGGTAAGGATGGTGGAACAAATGCAAAAGTCCTACTTTAGCATCTTTTTTTAAAGATCGTCTCTTAAACGTTGTTGTCGTTGTGCCATCGACAATTCAGGTTTTTTAATAGACATTGATAAATATATGTATTGAAAGTTAAAGCAATCGGTGCAAATAAAATGGATGTGTTTTGATGTAGTAATTCTCAGAAGACTTATCGAATCTGCTAAAAAAACTTTTGTTCGTGCTTCAAGTCCAAAGCGGCCATTTTTTTCTTGGCAAATTATTATTATCATTTTTGTTGTTTAGGCGATTTTTCTGTTTAATAACAGAAAATTTCCATCATCGTGAAAGACGTTACTGCTTTAAATAATTAGATTTTACAAGTATTTTTTTATTTTATCTTTTTAAATATAGATTTTATCGATGAATAGAAACAATTAAAAAATGGTTCAGGTTAACTTATTTTGAAAAATAATCGTTTTTTTTTTTTTGTTTTATTACAGTCTTGATACGTTTTCTTTTGTTTTTAATTTTTATTCTGGCAGTTACGTATGAAATTAATAATTTAAGATTTTTCTGAAAGAAAATAATTTTTTAAAAATCAATATTTTATCAATTTTTTTTAAAAATTTAAATTCCTAAAACATGACATTTCTGAAAATATAGACTACTAGCATAAATAAACAATTCTAATTTCGTTTTTATCTTAGACTAAAAGATGGCGCGCTTTATTTTGTTCGGGATCCTCGAAGCGGTGATTCCAGCGGCGGAGAAAGTGATTCTGGAGAGAAAACTCCATCATCTTCATCTGATTTAGTTTGGCGCAAAGTATTGCATCAACCTGAGATAATCCGAAAAGCTTTCCTCGAATGTCACGTGGACGATCAAGGTAATTATCATAAACATTTATATCCCCAAAAGTAAATAAAACGAAGCTATCACGATTTGTTTGTTTACAGTTTGTGCAATCAGTAAAATTTTGTAGGTTTTTGCCTCCTCTGGCAGATCAACGACCTACTGACCAGAAACGATGTATGTTACATTTCATTTCGATGAGGCTCCTTCCCTTAAATCAGGATTCGCATACAGCCTGGATAATAAGGAACTCGCAGAATTACAACGGAATTGGAAAAAAAATAGTCATTTTTCTTTCTTCTTATTTATCCCCCCCCCCAAAGGAAATTTTGATTTAATGTTGAATTTTCTAATACAACTTGATATGTATTGGCATTACCTTGCAAAACTTAGAAGCTAAGAAAGTAATAAACTTGACCACATCTTAAAATATATGTTACAATGATGACAAAAATTATATTCTATATTCTAGTGTGTTTCTTTGGCCATTCCTCTTTTTAGCTGTCCCAGAACACAGCTTATTATTGTCTGTCTGTTACACAATGAAACAAAAACTTGAAATCCTTCATTAAAGAGAAAAAAAATTAAAAATGTAAACAGTAAGCAGCCATCTTTTCTGGAGTGACTCATTCTTATAAATCCATTATTTCATTGTTCTACCAACTGACCTGGGAGAATGAAAACTATTTTCTCACTTTAATGAAGGAAGGACTCCTCATTTAACAGTACCTGTATCTGTTACATTTGTATTGTAAATATATTTTTGAATCTATTGTATATAAAAGCCAGTGTCTGCTTTGTAATGCACAAATAAATCTTATCAAGCTATATTTAATAAAATATTGGCAGATAAATTAGAAGGAAGCATTGTCAAATAATGATATTTCAAGATGTAAACAATAGCTATATAATTATGTAGAAAAGGACAGTGTCTGCTAATTTTTTGATTGTTCAACTTTTTTTTGCCACTGATTAGGAAATTCATTAACCATTGTCATAAGGGTAAAGTTTTCTTGGCATGAGACAGATTTAAGTTTTTATTTATTGGAATTAATAAGTAATTTGGAATGTATGCACAATGGAAATTTCCAAAGTTATCATTGTATAATTCAGTTCTTTCCCTTGCATCCATATTAGCAAAGATTGCTGACACACTTGTTTCAGAACGCATCATTAAATTGATCACCTGAATATATTAGAACATTATTGTCAGATGATGGACAAAACTCTAATAATAAAATATTTAACTGTGTTATTTTTGTTTGGTCAGCATTTTTTCTTGTGTGCTTCATGACATTTGTTCAACAATAATTTTTCTTTCCTTTTAAAATCAGTTTAAGTTTTCCTTTTTTCAGATTTTTGAATCTGTTTCCAACATCAATGAATATTCATGTGCATTAGTACTTTCTAGATTTAAAACTCTTTTCTTTTTTTATTTGCAATTATCTATAAGCAAACTACCAATCCTGCTTCAGAATGTTCCTCTTAATGATTATTTGAAATCAGTTTTTGTGGAAATGGAGTTAACAAACTGAGTTTGAATTTTGAGTAAAGCTACTGAGCCACATCAAGTGTATACTCTTGAACCCATTTGTCTGTCTGTGTGGCCTGTCCTGTCAGCAGGCCCTCTTGTTAAAATGACTTCTCATTTGTATATACTACAATGATTGATATACTGGGTGAGTAAGTATTTGAATAAACCATTATCTCAATATTACCTTACCTCCTTGGTTAACAGCTGCAAAAAGCTGCTCCCATTATAGTTAACCTTGACAGGAGACAAATCTGCCACAATAGATTTTCATATTTAAAAATGTGCATAAAATTTTGAAGTAAAATTGAAATTTTCACTTCAGTTGATAATTTATTCTGCACTATTTATATTTATAAATTTTACCTTAGTTTAGCACAAGGCCACAAGTGTGAGGCACTTAGATTAATAGAATAATGATTTGTGAGATTAACTTGCTACCCATTTGTCCAATTTGAGTTGCTTCACAAATATTTATTTCAGTGTATTATCGTGAAAATTAATTTGTTATAGCAACAAACCTCAAAATCATTCTTGTCCCAAACAGAATTGAACTTCTTTTTTTTTTTCATTAATTTCAATTTTTACCATGATGCTGTTGAGGATCATTAACTAAAATTAACTTTAGAAGATGAAAACTAATTTGAAAGAAATGTCACACTCTTAAATTTATGGAAAATATTAATCCTCCTTTAATTGTCAAATTTAAGAATTGCAACCTGGTAAATACATTAAAGAGAAAATTATTGCCTTTTACTAACATTCAGGTTAATATTTTTGGTGAGAGTATTTCTGGGGCTTTCTATCTTCAACTAATTTAACTACATAAAACTGACAAATAATCTTTACAGGAAAATATGAATAGCACATAAATAAATTTCTGCAGTATTTTTACTTTATTATTAGCATACTTAATCATGGTTACTATTACAATGTTTTTGTGTTTGTGTCATAAGATGAAATTAAGTTACTTAAGTTTGCACAAATATCTACTAACACAATGACTCTTACATCATCTAATTTTTGTATCACTTGATTTAGAAATCTTTTTGTTTTTCTATTCATAACTTCTGACAATGACAACTGATAAAAAATACTTATAAATATGAAAACTCAAAATATTTTGAATAGAAATAAATATCAGTTGGTAAAAGTGTTCAGATTGTAAGAGGATTTAGGTTTACAGGACAATTTCAGTAGATGACCCAAACTAGCATTTTATTTTCAATATATCTAAAAAAAAAAAAAAATTAATACAGATATGGACAAAACATAAAAATAATATATGTATTAGCATTCATAGACAAATGTTCCCCCTTTCATGTACTATTGTACCAGAAGCCAATTTTAACAGTAAGTGAAAAATCATTATAGATGTAATGCCATATAGGTAGTCTTGAAGTAAACGAGTAGATAATATTAATGGAATCAATAATTCTGAGATCAGACCAGACTAACCATTGGGAAAAATTGTGTTCTCAAAAACAAAATAGTTAAAAAAAAAAAAATGAAGCAAATGGTCAATTTTCACTGCTCACATAAGTTTCATTTTAACAGTTAATGCCTTGCAGCTTCTTACTATGATTCATTGCACAAAAGAGATGAAACTAATTTTTTTTCAGTAGTACATCAATACAAAAAAACTTCTATTTACTCCATGTAAAAACAACTAGATGCTCAATTTGACAGTAGGCCAAAAACAGGTCAAAAGTACACTATCCTCAACATACTATAAAATAAATTATCCATTGCCTGAAACTTAATTAATGAGGAATTCAACAAAACTGATCTTTTCTCTGTAATATGAATACCTTTTGTCATAGAAGTTTCTAATTTTGTGAAATTCTGTAATTTTTACTTGTCAAAAAAAGGCACTAATGACTATAAAACTTAGAAATTTGTTTCATGAAATGAAGCATTGGTCATTCTTGCAAATAGCTTTTTACTACAAAGCTTTAAACTCATTTATCTTCAAGCTAAAAAAAAACCCAAAATAAATAAAAATTATTGAAACTTATGAAAGAGACATTCTGAACAATTGGAATGGTCTTCCTGCATTTCCTCTTCTAACAGTAATTTGTAGTTTGAATTTGTTTATAAGCTTTTGCTATGCTACTTGTGTAATATCATCCAACAAAGGCTATCAGAAATAAACATTTTTGCCTTTAATTGAAACTAAAGTTTTGATTACAGCACTAGATGGAGATGTAATGACACGGACAATGTAAAAGTTGGAGTCATAATATACTGCAACCCATTGACCTTTGATGCTCGTAACTGAAGTTCATTCAAAGTGGATTGTCTACATCAATAATGTGAGAATTGTTTCAATGTTCACATTCACTGTGTGCCTTTTTTTTTCCCTTCCTCTGTTCCTTTAGAGGTGGAGATGAAGTTCCATAAAAGTTATATCACTGTAATGTCTTCCCTTCATCACTTGAGTTTTAACTTCGCAAAGATTTTGAAGTCTTCTTCAGCCTGCTTCTCCCACTTAGAAGAAAACTACTTTTCAGGGTGTGGAGTTCATCATCCACTGAACAGCAGATTAAAAGTAAAAATTTTTAAACAACCAGGTAGGTATCTCTTGTGTGGAAAGCAGTAATACATAAAAAAAAGGATACCTGCTTAACAAATGTTATGCTTATTATCTTCCATAATTGTTTAAAGAAAAAAAAGAAAAAATATGCAAAGACAACACGTTTTCAAAAGTTGAAGAACTATTAGATTTTTTATTTTATTTAAGAAAATGTAACCATTTCATTTTAACCTCCAAAATAGAATCTAATCCCAAGAATTAGTAAATAAATAATCATCAAAAAAAAAGAAAAAGGAAACTAATTATATTTTGAAAATTACTTTTTTTTTTTTCTTTTTTTTTTTTAATGGACCTATGCTCCAAAGTTAATGTATTTTATTTATTTTTTGATAAAATGTATCCAGTTTTTTGAAAAGAAATTGTAAATAAATTTTGACTATAATTCCCAAATTCTGAGAATTAGAGAAAATATTGCCAGCCTCAAATGAAATTGATGACCATAAAAAGAAAACTGGAAACATTTTTTAAAATTCCATTTTAATATTTTATTTTATATTAGTGTGAAATTTAAAGAACTAAAAATATATCCAATTTATATATATATATTTTTTTTTATTTTGTAATGTAAATTCTGTTAATAAAAAAAAAAAATGAAGAATGCATGAAAACAGCTGTGGTGAAAGTGATTCGATCATGACAGTTTGGATAAAATACAATGAATAAGTATTTTATACAGTTTTAATATGCCTCATTAAAGAAAATATATGAAAAATACTTTGTAATATCCATCAATGAAAAAAGTCTGATTTAAAATGAGGTTCAGCTGGTGATGTCAATTCACTCAGTCAGCAAAATACAAAATTTGATTATGCATCTACTAGGGACCCTGATTTTCCATTTCAAATTTTCCTTGATTTCATTTCCACTTTTGAGAAATGCTGTTTTTTTTTTTTTGTTTTGTTTTTTT